AAACCCAGCACTGTCCTTTTCTCGGAAGTAGAATCTCCGGTGCGCTTCTTTAATAACGGACCGGTCAGGTTGAAGGCAAGCAGGTTGGTATTATAACCATCTACAGAATGCTCCATACGTACACCACCTCTAAGAACTGGTGTAGCGCCTTTGGTAGTAATGGAGATCAGACCACCCGATGCATCACCATATCTTGCAGGGATACCACTTACGTAGGTAGTTACCTGATCTACAGATCCCTGTGGCGGGGTTTATACTACCACCGGAAACGATCATACCATCGATTACATACTGAGTACCGGAAGTACGCGCACCACCAAGACCTACACTAGCACCATTCCTGGACTGATAAGCCTGGGTACTGAGTGAAGCCGCATCGGAGATGTTGGTCGTTGGCATTTTTTCAATTTGCTCCGACGTTTTGGTACTACGTCCGCCTGGCTTTTTTGCATCTACCAATGGTGGAACGTTGGGGCGCGAAGCGATAATTACAATTTCCTTCTGTCCGCCTTTACCTGTTAATACCTGAGAAGTGCTCAGTTTATTATTAACGGTAGAAATCGCATCCGTATTAACAATAACGCCGGTAATAGACTGTTGGAAGTTCTGCCACTTGAATGTCACATCATATCGGCCCGCATCCAGGGGCTTAACAGTGTATTCACCATCAAAATTGGTTACCGTACCACCCCGCTGTATACCGCCCTGAGTGACAGTAACTTGCGCGCTGGGTAAGGGGTTCCCCTTTTCGTCGGTAAGAGTGCCCTGGATACCACTGGTTTGGGCCATAGCCACCCCCGATATGCCTGCCAGCACTAATAGTAATAAAAATGAACGTAACATAAATTTCATATCCTGCGTTAAAGATTTTTAACCAAAGAGCGGTAAAGATAAAAACTTCTGTTAAAAACTTGCCACTCCTCTAACATTTTTTGTTGCTACTCTGTCTTCCTTTTGTTATCTTATGCTTTTGGTTATCTTATTTAAAAGCACATTACTCATCTTAAAAAGCGCCTCAAAAGTATAACCT